GAGTAAAAATGAGAAGAAGACATTGTCAGTGTACACACATTTAACGTCTGCTTGACCCTGCGACCCAGGAAAGTTGTCATTAGCAAGTGCCACAACCCATTCATGCACATACTTTGACTGTTTAGAGAAAAGTCAATGAAGTTTGCCCTAATTCCACCATGAGGATAAAGGAAAGAATTGTGCTTGTACTCCTCACTAAAGTTGAGCTTTTCAGATGAAACATCCACATCATGGACAGAAGATAACAGACAAATGTTCACACTGTATGTTAGCCATACTTGAAGAGAATAAGTGTGCGGATTGAAGGCTCAGAGTTACAACTGACAAAGGTTCATGCTTTAAATTAGGCCTTCACAAGAAGCTTTTAAATATCGGGGGAGAATGCTTTGGCATTGACTGCTATGGGTGGCTAACAGGTGGCTAAGTGGCAGTTTACAGGACAGACAGAAGAGCCTCATACTTAAGGCATTCTAGAACGTAAGTATGCCTCTTGCATGGCGGTCCTTTCCCCTAGCAAGTGATGGCTATCATTCCCATATCCGTGCACATTCTAAGTCTTCTCTCTGTGTGCCTGCCTGCCTGTCTGCCAGTCATCAGGGACAGGGATTAAAATCTAGCCGCACAAACACAGAATGCAGCAACATACAGCTTCCAAGCTATAAATGAGCCCCTTCCTTCCACGATGCACAGAATCTCTGCTACTCCCTAATTTAAAATTGATTTAAATACCTTACCAGCATTTTTTGTCCTCTTGATGCATGGTTTATATGGGTGTGGTTTGCTTCTTTTAAAGTCGGACATGCACACAGATGCTCTTGTGACTCCTATGCTCTCTGTGCTTTTACCTGAGTAGGGGCTCCTGAACCCATCTCCTGAACCCTCCTTCCCCACTTTAAAAGGAAGAGCTCTCTCCCCAGTCACCCAGGCAGAAAACGAGAAGCCCTGCTAGATGCACCCTTGTCTCTTCCTTTTGTAGAGCAATGTTTTAGTGCACCCTAAAAAATGTTTTAGTGCACCCTGAAAGTTCCTGAACCCAGAAAGATAAAGAACGTGCTGCGATACTGGTCCGTATAGCCTTATATGGTCACTGCGCCTTACCAGATTGCTCCAGCTAAAATTAACAGTGCGTGCTCCAAATCTTTAGTGCGCAGCGCCATCTGGAAACCATAGGGTTAATTAAATAATTGCATTGTTTAAACATGTCAATACAGTAGAACTCTTCTAGGTTTGAGGGTGCAGCTTGCATTTCTGAAATCTGGAGATGGTGGGAGGCAGGAATGGTCCTATCAATACTGTTGCTCAGACAGGTTGCAAATCTGCTCAGTTTCACATGCTTAAGTGAAACTGAGTTCATTATATATGCATAACTGTGTAGCATTACAACCACAGATACTATGAAATCCAATGGTTCAACAAATTTTAAAGGGATCTGCACATCACATTCTGGATTCCAAATAAACAAGGAACAACTGTGCAACTATCTTTTCATTTTTTGAGGTTAGTGTACCATTTTTGAGGTTGGATGTACCATTGTGCCTCATCAAAACTCATTTTCAGTTTAATTCAGCTCGACGAATTTTGTAGCCCCAGCGATAAAGATCCAAGATTTCATGAAGGTATTGGAATGTCCAAGGAATCCAGGATTTGCATTTGCATATTTCAGTGGTCTATACTTCCCCAAACACCCCAATCTTGATTCAGCACTCCCCAAGGAAAAAAAAATAAAAGACCTCAATTTGAACTCACAGAGCTATCATGTCAGTAATAATAGCAACCAACCAACCAGAATGAACTTCCCATGGCCCCCACACCACATCAGAACCCCAGGGTTGAGTCGGAAGCTCTAAGAGGCTATTTTGGAACTCCGTTTTCCCCATTAGTCATCTGAAAAGTAGCATTGTTTGTTGGTGGTTAGTCAGCTGTCAGATGAAGACTAGCAGCTCAAAGATGCTTCTGTCATGTAAGGACAATCTAAGAAAAAGTTTCTTGTGAGCCTCAGAAATTTGCGACTCACCTGTTCACGTCGTTACTCTTGCCTTCTGGGTCCTTATAAAAATCTCCCTCTTTGCAGCTTCTCTGTAGAAGGTCTGTGCTGAAGTCAGTGCTCAGCCACCAAGGACTAACTTAGAAGTAGGGCAGTGAGAGTTTGACTGCTTCTCTCTTAGCCGTCTCACTTTCTCTTTCTCACTCTTGCCCTCTTCCTTTCATAGGTCAAAGCTTGTCAGAGAGCTGTTAGCCTGTAATAAAGCCAAATGGTTTGTTTGTTTTTTTAACTGGAAATTTACAGCATCTGCCTCCTAGCTCTTATTATTCCAGTACATGCCAGAGATGGAAGCTGCTCGAATGTGAGATTAATGTTAATTCGTTGGCATTTCATAAATCAATCTGAAGTGTGAATTTTCTGCTGATCCAATTTCCTCTTCAAATTGTAGCCTTCAAAGCTTTCCTCTCATAGGACCTTGTAAATATTCCCACGGGAGATGCAACAGTGTTTAGAGAGAGAAAGAAAAAAAAATACTTCCAGATTTTCAGAAGTTCTGAGCAATCACAATTTTATCTGTATCAATGGCCAAGATTGTATAGTAGTGAACATAATAATGAGTTTGACCAGTTTCAAAATGGTGACAGTAAATTATTTAGATTGCTAGAATAATACATGTTCTTATTTATTGCATATTTTCTAAAATTTTACAAAGCTTGTATATTAGGAGGAATTATACTAGATTTTGTGAAGAAAATTGGGTTCAGGAGAGCAAACATGGGTTCAGTGTTTGCTTGTGCTTCCTCATGAATGGAGGGAAGCAAATTCCCTTGCTTTGCTGGCATGGATGGAGCCGGTTTCTATTCAGTGAGAGACGCAGGGCAGCAACATTCTTTGCATTTATTTGTAAATTTGCAGTTCTGGAGTTTCAACTTGTAGAGCTTTATTCTTAATGTTTTGCATGCCAATTGGGTTTGCTTCAATCCTTTTATGGAATAGAATTTGTGCAACTGCCGACGGGGCAGAACAGAGTGGAGAACCGTTTTTCAGCAGAGGGTTGCAATCCTTCGGGGGTCATCTGCTGGCATCTGTTGGCCAGAGCCAAAGTAGATGAAGTCACCCATTTTCCCCTTCTCTCCATCTGCCCAGAGGAGGAGCAACAGATTATTTTTATCAGAAGTCTGCAATCAGACTTTCAAAATTAAGCTGAGGATCGCTGCGGGTTGTCCGCCCCGGCAGGGAAGCATGAATGTATACATGGCTCTTCTATGGCTTTCCCATTCACTCCAAGAAAGACAAATCTGATTTCCATATAAAAAGGCAGCACATGTAAGTCCCTCTGTTGACATCAATGGGGCAACCTTCATATGCAGTAGATCTGTGTGCACATCACAGCACAGTAATGCACCTATGGTATGAGGCAACAGACATTTTTTTTTTTCAGTTTTCATTGCAATCTGCCCTGAATCCTTAAGATAATGGTATAACATAAATTGAAAATAGGGATGTCAGAAATCCATAATGATTCAAACAAGTTCAGATTTCTATGACTCTAATATGCAGATTCCAGAGCAGACTGGCTTGTCCTGAGTTGCATGGATCCTGCAGAACTGTAGACTTAAAAAAAACTTTTGGAGGCAATTTGCACAAATAAATACTTGCACTAATGTGCACTAGCACAAACACATATTGGAACTAATGCATACTTGTGCAAATTAAATGAAATTATTGTATGTCCCTAGGGAAAAAAATCCAAGTCTGTTAATTAATTAATTTTTCAATTTATATCCTGCCTTTTTCCTACAAAGGCTCAAGGCAGCTTACATCATTCTCCTCCTCCATCTTATCCCAACAACAACCCTGTGAGGTAGGTTGGGCTGAGAGTCTGTGACTGGCCCAAAGTCACCCAGCTGGCTCCATGGCCGAGTGGGGACTAGAACTCAGATCGTCTGAGTCCCATGCTCTTAACCACTACACCACACTGGCTCTCTCATACTGGTTCCATCAGATCATCATCTCTTAATGATGATCTGATGGAACAAAAGATGCCTGAAAATCGGCAAAGCATGAACAGAATTAATTTAACCATTTCTATACTTCCTAACTTAAAATAAAATATACTTGATTTAACATATTGCTTTCTTCAATCATCCTGTATTCAGTTAAGTGAGAGTTAATGCTCTGGTGAATACTGACATGCACAGGTGAATGCCTAAAGTTTATCCTCACTCATGCTGACAATTGTAGTTGGGGATCTGCCAATATAGATCTGTGGATTTTCAGACATTTATAAAACTTGCCATCATGAATGTTATCACCAAATTTCAAATCTTCCCTGTAACAAATATACACCAGTCACTGGGGTAAAAATAATGCACAGCAGGCCATGAGTACACTCACTCCATATTGGTTTGCAGCATTCACAATGATTACACCCAATTTTATGAATGGTAGCAACCTATACTTAGAATTTCACTTATCTGAACATGTCACTGGGCAGGAGAATTGGCAGGAGAGGTGACCATCAGCCACACAGTGACAAGGGGCACAGCATGGGCCCTGCCTTTCTTCCTCTTTGGAATAGGTAGCAGTACTTCTGGGAGAAGCCACCAAAATTCTTAGCAGATAATGCAAGCAGGTTCTCTACATTTTTCTGCAAATTCTACTGTTCTGATTTGTAGTGGTCCCTTGGCCCAAAACAACTCCATGTGGCACTATATACCCATGTGGCTTAGAAACTGATGGGCCATCTTGTTGCACTTTTGCAGGGCACAAGTGAGCAGGCCCCAGACTTGTGAGATCTAGCTTGTTTTTAATTAGAATCCTATTATCCACCAATCAGACAGAAGTGCAAAAGATATACACTAAGAATGAAGGAACTTGATGGTTCTGTGCACAGGTTTCTCCTCACTGAACTGAGCTCACAGTCTTTTTATCCTGAAGTCCACTCCTGGGTATTCAAAACCTTCTTCATTTCAACAGCCCCATTTAGGTGGAAAGACACATGATGCTATTCATGTTGTTAAACAATTGAGTCTCAGCAACTCATGATAATTTACTGCAAACTACCCAGCAGATCTGGATCTCCCCCTGTCCACCTTGCTGTACAATCTTCAAATCCTCTGCAAAATCAGTGCACAGCTAGGAGATACAAGGGCATGGTCTAAATCTCAACTAAAGATGTGGGATGCCTCCTTCTGGGTTCCACTGAAGGGACCACATCTGGCCATAGCTACCATTCAGTGGTTTATCACGGTTCCAGCTCTTTTAGCACAGCAGGTTCCTGCCCAAGTAACTTGAATTTAGCTTTACCTGAGCAGTGCATTTTTAAAAAGATGATTACTTCTCCACAGTAACTCCACAGTAAAAATGTTTTAATAAATAAATAAATAAATAAATAAACTTGGTGCTTGACAGTATGTATTGTTATTTCTATTTATTCTGGGTCGGGGAACAGAGATGCGAATGGCCCCACTCAAAGATTAGTACATGGCAACATCAGATTATAGATGGAAGTAGTAATAGGCTTCAGGGATCCATTTAAATTATTTGTTTAAATTCTTTTAACTTTTCTGTTGTTTGCCTCATAGGTATAATGCAAAGCCAAATTGCTTCAATGTGAAGCTGGCTTATTCTTTTAACTTTTCTGTTGTTATTGCTATAATGCAAAGCAAAATTACCTATGCAAAGCTGGCTGTCCTCAGAAGGACAGAGTTAAAGAAATACAAAACAATCAACACTATTGTATAAGCCAGCATAACAGCACACATACGGTAAAAAAGGCCTAATGCTATAAAAATGTTGCAGCATAAGCCAAATTTACTGCAAAAGAAAATTTATTGACAAATTCCATGATCTCATATCAGTAGTCACAAAGGGCTCAACATAATAAATGTGCAAAAAAATAAAAGCAATTAAAAGTCAGAACTCCCTTAATTAAAACATATATATAGAAAAAACAAAATAAAAAACAAATTTTTGTAGAAGGTGTTGGTTCAAGTATGCACAACTTAACAGAAGGAAAACAAAAACTTTTAAAGGCAGAAAGACTAAAACCTGTCATAAACAACCTTCCCAAATAATACATCCTAAGCATACATAATTTAAAAGGATCCTTGCTTTGCATAGACATATCTTGTCAGAAATGGATTTAGTTAAATAAAATCTGTGTTGGGACAATACCTTTACAACAGAATTTCATCAACAAATATTAGGTCCTACAAGGAAGAGCTCATCTGGTCTTTAAATACCAGACTTTCTAGCAAACCAGTTTAATTCTGTCACCTTCTGTGATCAGCTATAAATAGTTGACCCAAAGCTGTAAGAGATCACACACCAGCATCCTCTGGGCTACCAGGCTGCCAAAGCACTCCTACTTCCAGACAGACAAACTCAGAACCTGTGCAAATACTTTTAGGTCGTGCCCAGCAGCTTTTCACACAATCTGGTGCACAAAATTGCATGTGGAGCCCACACCTCATTGAGTGATCTGTCATCACTTAGCACTCAACTGCCTACTTCACTTGTGGGACCTCATTAGAGAGATCCAAACCTTTCAACAACTGGACTAAAAAGTTATTTTGCACAGTCCCTCTTCCTAGCCTTGCCTTGTTCCACTTCCACGCTTTTATGTTTGTATTTCAGCAGTGAATTCATATTTTGTGAAGGGGAGTGAGCAGGATTAAGAGATCGCCTGTAATTCTAGGGGGAATCATGAACTGTCATGTGAGAAATACACAGCTCGACCCTGGGACCCAGCTGAAATGTCACGTAGTTGCTGCAACAAGAGGACACTCAAAACCAGCTTGGCAGGTCAGACACTCAGTCATTCTTTCCTCATCCACTTCTCACAGCTTCTTTTCCGAGGTCTGTAATTCCTTTAGCTGATCTTTCCTGAGTGTATCAACTTCTCTGTGTCTTCTGGGGGTAGAGTGCAAATCACTGAACGTTAAAATGGCATTTTGTCTAAGAATTGAAGCAACAGAAATATCCCCATAAACCACAGCATTTCTTGAAAGTCTAAGGGAGAATACACACCCTTCTTTTCTGATAGCAACCCACCCTTCCTATGGGCAAAACCCTGGCTTCATCACCAAATTATAACTTTCTCTCTTAAAAATATTTAAATCCCGCTTTTTGAAGCAAATAATCTACAAATAGTTTGGCAAAATCGGGAAAAACTCAACCAACTGATATACAATTAAAACATCGTAGATTAAAAAGAATAATCAGTCAACAACTGTTGACTCAATTAAGCAGCAGTTGACAAAAAGCCAATGCTAAATGGAAGGACCACCCCCCAACCCACGCCAGCTGATTAGCCGAAAAGGAGGACCATTTCAAACCCAAAGGGTTTGATGCTCTGTGAAAGAGCAAAGTCTTTGCTTGCCTACTCTGGCCAGTATCAGTGTCATTCTGCAAATCCAAATTGTGCTATTACAGCTCTAACCATTTTTTTTCCATTTTGTAAGTGGTTATTTCTCATGCTTGCACAACAAGTAGCACAACTTTTTGTGCAATTGCTTGTGCAACCATAATGCACAGCTGGCTGCAGAATCAATTGCACACGGCTTACGAATCATAATGCATAACTGCTTACAGAACTGGGCTTGCACAGACACTACTTCAGTGGCATTTTCTTGTGCATATTTCAGAACCTAGTTTCCATTAGCACAACATTATCTGGGCAAAGGGAATAATAGTTGGATACTGCCCATTATTTACTATTTCATACTGTGGGCGTTGTCTGGCTAAATCACTTCCTTGTTTCATTGCAAAGTTAATTAAAATGTCCTCATGTATGGAATTGAGAGCTGCCCAGCTCAGCTTTTATAGTAAGTCTGACTGGATACAAGCATGTCTACTTCATTTCAACCTATAAAACAAGACCAAACCCAAAAGACAAAATGCCCCGCAAAGGCCAATATGAATATATAAAGACTGAATATATTCAGTGGGAAAGGGACACTGACTGATTGTTTTGGGAAACAGGAGAACTAATAGGAAAATAGAACCACAAACAGAAGCTTCCCAAACTGCAACAATTTTTATGCAGGAGTCCACTTGTAATAATAGTGATCCTCTTTAATTTGCAACTTCTTCATATTTGGTTATTGACTTTGTGCTCCAATAACTAACATCTTTATTTGTTGTTATGTGCTGTCAAGTCATCTCTCACCTCTGGTGACCCTAATGAAAGCCCTCCAAAATATCCTATCCATGGCAGCTCCATTCAGCTCTTTCATGCATAAGGTTGTGACTTCATTTATGGATTCAGTCCATCTCATATTGGGTCTTCCCTTTTGCCTTTGCCTTTCCCTAACGTAATTGTCTACTCAGGGAATTTTGCCTTCTCATGCTGTGTTCCAAGTATGACAACCTCAGTTTTGTCATTTTTGCTTCTAGGGAAAGCTCCAGCTTGATTTGATCAAAGACACACTTGCCTTTCTGTTGTGCGGGGTACTTGCAAAGCTCTCTTCCAGCATCATCTTCGGAATGCATCCATTTTCCTCCTGTCAGCTTTCTTCACTCCCCAGCTTTCACACCCATACATTGTGTTTGGATGAACTTGTCTTATATCTCATATAAACATCTTAATAATAGTAGGTTTTCATAGGTTCGTTATTTTTTTGTCTTTATGGCTGCTGTAAACTATCTTACTGTTCAATTTGTTCAGTCACTGATCTCAATTGCAATCTGGACACCACTGACACCTAAAATGAAGTCCTAATATTTTGCTGTAGCATTTCCTGAGAAGGGTTAGGGCAGGGGAAGGCAACCTGCGTCTCTGGAGCTGCATGTGGCTCTTGAATCTGCAACCCGATCTGTGACCTGGGCCGGCATGGCACAGCCCCCGATTTGTTTCATAAATGCAGCACACTATAGTTTTTTATACATAGCATAAAGGTAAAAAACGACATATGCAGTGTTATTTTCATCTTAGAGGTCAAAAGAGTTTTGTGGCTCCCGGTGTTTTGTTTTCTGTGGGAAACGGGTCCAAATAGCTCTTTGAGTGTTAAACGTTGCCGACCCCTGGGTTAGGGAAAAAGACTGCCAGGAATGAATGGAAAAAATGTCCCTTCTTCATAAACACCTTACAGCTTTCTGACAAGCCTTTCCTTATTAAACTCAAGTTGAAAAGGTTAGTTTGGAACCTTTCTACACAAGGCTTTTATAGTGTGCTCAGGATTCATCGCTCATGGAAATTAACTGGTGCTCCACACAACTTCATCACTCGCTGGGGCCTTTCCTGTTGCTTGCAGCCATTTTAGCTGGGTGTTTTTCCCCTAAAAAGGAAAGGCTGTAAATGGTGCCATGAAATCTTAGTGTATTTACACAATATCATTATGCAAACAAGCACCTAGTAGGTGTGTAATCAAACATATAGAAAGACAGAAAATAAATCCCTGGTGTAAAAATATATTTTTAAAAACACGTAAATGAAGTGATCTTAATTCCACAAGGATTCTAGAAGCAGATGCCTCTGTAAAGTGGCGGTGAGAAGCTTCATGTCAAAAAGCTCCAAGTTCTAGGAAACTACCTGAAAGTTTACTGTGTGACGTGTAGCTTCATTTCTTTAGAAGAAGGTGATCATGAGTACTGGATTATTTGCTGCAATTCAGTTAATGACAAGACATTAAGAAGTGGATCTTCAGTCTGAAGTTGACGCAGACAGTCACACATGAATTACAGAATAGATTCACATACTGAAATGCTACTGCCTCAGTGAAATCCGTCTGCCTAGTTCAAAGCTCTTGTGGAAACATCTTCACCTTCCAACAAAGGAAAACTTTGTGCCTTCACCTTCCTTCAACTCCCCAGTCAAACAAGCCCTTTCAGCTGCTTCACTGTCCAGTTTGCAGATCAGAACTGGAATGGCTCCATGGCTCTCAGAAAATATATTGACAGCTGCCTGTAACTTCAAGGACACACCCCCAGTAGTATCATGTGGCAGGGTAGATGTAAGCACCGGTGGCTTGATATTCCCATCAGGAGCGATGGCGATGGAATCTACAAGCTTAGCACCTGTTGTAAAATAAGCAAAGGGTTCAGAATTGGCATCCTAAGGATATACAATGCTAATCTTAATGAATAAGAGCACCGAGGCACAAAAAACACTAGGTCAGTCATGAAACCTTGCCTGCTTTTATTTCCGTAAATGACAAAGGAAGACTGGATGGCATCATGCTTAAAACAATAGCCCAAGCATCTGGAGAATCAAACTTTTTCTCTAGCCTCCCTAACACAGGGTACCTTAGCCTCCCAAGTTACACTTGTCTAAAGACATGGGCAAATATGGTGCAAGTGATGTAAGATTAATTTCTGGGATACAATGTCTAACTTCTCCTACTACTCCTGGAGCCAGAACCAGAAACACTGATATTAATCTAGGTAAATTTCATTTACCCTTAGCATTGCCAGCACATAGTCGAATCTGGTTGGCAACATTACGTCATGCCCAGTATGTGATCCCTGATCAGCTCAGTTCAGAAGACGAAGGGAAAAAACACACCAGAGGAAAAATGTGTAGCAGCAGAAAGCCACAAAGGTGGTAGAGTTCAGGGTACTTTTTAAGGAGACTGCTACCCCAGTTGCCACTTTCCAAACAAAGTGCTAACTGGGACTGGGGACCCTCATTCCTACTAATTCCTAGATCCTTGGGACGTATCTACACCATCTAGATTACAAGCTTTTTTAACAACCAGTGGTGTTCATTTACTTTATAGCACTGCCTATTCTATTAAAGTGCATTTCAGTATGCCCGCATCCCTTTTAAACCACTTGGAAAATCTCCCACCCCCCAGAACCCTTTTTAACCAGGGCCAGATCTACTATTAGGCAAAGTGAAGTGGCCACCTTAGGCAGCAGTTGCTGGGAACAGCAGCAGCAGCCTCCTGGCTGATCCTCCTAAGCACTCAAGCAGTTCCACTCTGCAATGTATGCCACACAACAGTCCTGCCCCAGGTCAACTAGCCTGTTGCCTCAGGTGTGGGGTGAAGGATGCTATCCCATTGCCAGTGTTGAAGGAAGGTTCAGGTGCCAAGTCAGTCAGTTTCTGCGCTCGTTGGGATACTGGCCATTTTTCCTTGTGGTGCTGACATGGGCATCTACATCTACTTATTTTGTACCTGGGGTGGCAGGTGGACAGGTGTAAATTCCATTCACATCTGTGAGAAACACAACCCGCTTAGGAGAGAATGTCTTAGCCAGAACCTGCCAGAGGGAAAAATAGAAATATGAGCACATGAAATTGCCCTACTACAATGTAAACTGCGTAGCAGCAGCTCTTCAAGATCTCAGCAAGATAGTCCTTCACACCACTGAATTTTTTTCACTAGATGCGCCAGGGGCTGAGGCCTTCTACATGCAATGCATGTATTTCCCCATTAAGCTATGGTTTTCTTGAAGTAGGCAATACAAAACTTGCGAGTCACACTGCCACCACCATCACATTGCATTAGTCTTGTATCTGGAAATGCAGAGAAATTAATGTGGGACTAACTACCTCAGAGAAGGAACCACAACAGTGAGGACTTTCTGCAGCTCAGTCAGTGGTTTGTAAACTCTGTCATTCATACAAAATATGTATTTATACAGTTTCTTATGAGAGCACACATACCTCTTTAAGATAAAAATGTGTATTACTGCTTATCAGTGGAGTTCAGACATGATTTCCTTTGCATGTGATTGCTTTTCTTAAGAGTGTACAGTCATGCAACTATGGGTTGTTTTTTGTTTTTGGTTTTGGTTTTTATTCTTTGCAAGCTTCCCAAGCTTCTTCCAAAGAAGCCCTACATAAGACTGCAATAATTTAGCTTGGAGGTTACTAGAGCACAGGCTACTGAAGCCAAGCTATTCCTGTTCAGAGAGGGGTATAGCTGGGCCACCAGCTGAAGCTTATAGAAAGCAGCCAGTGCCAATGAGGCCACCTGAGCCAAAAGTGAAAAGGGCAGCTCCAAGAAAACCTAAGTTACAAACTTGCTCATTCAGGAAGCAAGCAACTGCAACAAAGGTATCACGGTGGGCCTCGGACAGATCTGCCTTGTCTGCAGGACTAGCACATAATTGGTCCCAAGCAACCTTGACAAGTCACCCTCACTGCACTGAATATACATGACAATACCCACACACAAGCGTTCAAATGCCTCCACTAAAGGTTTTCTGCATTTGCTCTCTAACTGGCCCATGGAAGAAAAATGTCAACTTCCTGCAATGATTTCTGCATTCCACAAATCAACCAGGAGAGCCAGCCATATTAGTCAGAAACCTTCCCGGAGTTTTCTGAAAACCATCTGAATCCACTAGCCTCTGGGTGTGGACCATCTTAATAGGCCCCAGGGAAATCACAGAAATGTAGGCTCAAAGAGGCTCAAAGTCTAAACCTCAGCAGTCAGTGATCTGACAATGAAGAAAGGACGTATTCAATGTCCCCACCTTCATAGCACTTTCTCCATGTCCGTTTAAGAAGAACAAGTCTAGAGTATGCCCTGCTATGGGATGGGCCAATGACATGTTGGGGCAGTTCCATGGTTATCATGGAGACCATGAAATCCCAAGTTGCTCAGAACAGGTGTCCTCTGCATGAATGCTGATTTCCCCCAGAACCAACATTCTGGGGAACTTCAACAGCACATCTGAGATCATCTCCATCAGCTGAGATAGGAAGAATTTGGAGCAGCTGGATGGGACGCACATGAAGAGAATCACCAGCATGGCCACTGACCCAGCAGAGCAGTAGTCAGATCAGCAGGGAGCATGCAGGGGAGATCGAATTCCTATGAACTATAGCAGCTCCTCAGCTCTCAAATCTCTGCCATGTAGTTGAACCAAGTAGCCCAGTGGGCAGAATTGGAAGAGTTTTACTCCTCTCTGCTTATCCACACAGGTCTTGGTTATGCATGCCAGTTCAGCCACCTCAGCCACTGTTCCATCATAGATGAAGGAGGCCTTACCCTGAACCATTATGGCATTTAAAAACAGCATCCGGAGACCCAAGGGCATGATAAAAGAGCAACAACCAAACATGGCACAATCAGTTCTGCCGGAGATATGGTATCTCTCTTAACCCACAGTCACACTAATTGACCTCCGCCCCCAGCCCTGGCCCCAGCTTGGCCTCATATTGAACAAACAGAACAAAGATGACGTCAAGTAGAGAGTAGAGAACATAATGTAACAGCAATAGTGCATGTGCATTAAGGCTAAATGCACATTAAGGCTAAATACCAAGTGCTACTATTGCTATGGATGAATAACCAGCCTCATCACTCATCTCACCTCAATAATTGTATCACCAGACAAGATGCAGCAGTGCTGTTCCGCATCCAGAGCACAATCGCCATGTAAAACTGGGATATAACCTGCATCTAAAATGTCCCTCACTGCTTCAACACCAGCATGGATGACATTCTTGCATGCTGTTTTCCAGGTTCCAAAAGGCTGTAAGAAAGGAATGTTTACATCTGTTGTCTATTTGTCAGTAGTGCCCCACAAAATCAATTAAACCCAATTCCATATGTGGAGATAAAATTCTTAAGAAGCTGTGATCAGACATTTTCATACGTAATAAATAAAATAATTTTATAAGACATAATGCAAAACTGAAAGTGTTACTATTTATAAATTAAAGGGAAAGACCACTTGAATATTAAGGCTACAAGTTAGTTACCTTGTGTTCTGGGGATGCTGTCATCCCCAGAATGTGGTTGGTGTTTTAATGCATCAGGGAATGAACAGCAAAATGTTTAAAATGTCCTTGCCTTCTAACACTTTCCCTCAATCTTTCCTTCTGCAAATTTTCTTAACACATTAGTTTATCAAAAGGCAACTATACAGATGTGTTAGTACTGTAATATAGAAATGTGCTTACATTTAACAGATTAATAACCTAAAAGGCAGGTGTAATTCTTAAATTGGTTGATATTGTATTAGGAGCAAGATGTTTCAGCAACTTATTTAGAACAGATTTATTTATTTATTTATTTGGAATTTTTATATGCCGTCTCATCGCTTAATGCCTCGGGACGGCTTACATAAAGCTAAGGCTAAGGCTTGTGATAATTCATCATTGCCGAACTCCAGCACAGGTCCCATTTCCTGAGCCCCATCTAAACATACCTCCCATATTTTCTTCCCAAGACATCATCACCTAGAAAGAGACAAATTAAAACAACTGGTCTTCTTACCGAAAGGCCCACTGCTGGAACGCCACATTTTACCAACTCTTCAGTCACCAGGTGGTTCAGCTGTAAGAAGGAAAATAGGGACTCTGAAACTCAAAACGCTTTACTGTCCCAGTTTATTGTTCTCAGCTTGTAATATTAATACTTTTGGATTATAAAAGCAGGACTGGGGGCGGAGGACAGGAGGCATATAGAAGAGCAACAAAACCATCCAGGTGCTTTCCTTAGATCTGTTTCAGATATTGCAGAACATATGGAGGCACCAGATCAATTTACTGTGTGATGTGGTTCTTAGGCTGGCCTCACACCTGGACATACAACAGACGGGAAGAGTTCTTACCGTAGATTCTATTGTGCCTGAAGTCAAACTGGCCTAAATTTAGTCTTCTCTATTTTCTCCAGAAGATTTTTTGTTCAAATGGCAAAACACTGATGCCCAAGGCAAGCCCAAAACATGAGGTATTGCTATTCTGCTACAAACTACAGTAGCTACACAGACACCCTATACATCGAAGTGATTTTAGCCCTATTCTTCAAACATATGTCCTGATATAGCAGTATTAACCTGATTCAACAGCAGGTTATTAGCCAGTCAGCCCAGCTTGCCACAAACTACCACTCCCTGTACCAAAAGCAGGACCTGTGCTTTAGTTTCTCTTAAAGTGAAGGGAATAAAAAAGAATTACCAAAACAAAACCAGCAAAAACAAAATGGTTTCAATGAGATTTGACTAGAATTGTCTAATTCTTCTAGTTTTACAAATAGGATGACACAAATTTTAAATGTCATTATGCTTAATTACCACCATTCCAAAGGTTCTAGTTTAGCACAGTTCCTTCCTTTAGCACGTTTTGGGGTTTTTCTCCCCCCATTTTCATATACAACCCTTTCCCACACACACCACCCACCCACCCACTCCCATTGTCTCCCCTTCAGGCTTCCCCCTCCTTTCATCATATTAACCAGTATTTAAAGACCGAGGGTGTTATGTACGTAAGTAACCAGCTTCAAAAATATATTTGAATCACAGTATGACAAGCCAGTGTGCAAGAGGTAACATGTAGAAAGGAACATGGAACTGTAGTTTAGCACAGACAGAATGTAAGTCTGCAGGATGATGTTGCAGCAGCAAAACATGATTAAACCATAAAAAGCTAGCACAATTTTAGGCATTAATGGAGCTGTAATTCCCAAATCACAGGAAGGAATCGTTTTATCTAATTAGAATGGCACTTGCCAGACCTCATCTGGAGCACTGTGTCCAGATCTGGCAGCCATACTTCACCAAGGATGCAGACTAAATGGAACAGTTTCAGAGAAGGGCAACCACAAGGCTGTGGAAAACATCCCATTGCAAAAGAGGCTTCGGCGAATGGGGCGGCATAAAAATGTTTTAATAAATAAATAAATAGTAAAGATTAACAGAACTGGACATGTTGCGAACTGCCCAGAGAACTTTGGTTATTGGGTGATACTGAAATGTAACCAATTAATTAAAAGTAAATGCAAATATGTCTGCCCAGAAGAAAATAAGATTATAGGAGACCATGTATAATTTCCCTTCAAACACTGGAAAGGTTGTCTTATAGAAAATGACAATGACTTGTTCTCTTCTAGACTGAATAGGGTTGTTAGAGGAGGGTAGATTTTGGAAGAACATTAGGAGGCAGGTCTTCAGGTAAGGGCGGCTTGATGATACAGACCATTACCTGTGGGCTACCCTTCACTGAAAGTCTTCTAGCAGTGGCTGGTTAGGCACATGCTGGGAATGGCTGCAACACTGTATTTCAAGCAGCAGGTTGGACTAAACAATCAACCAGATCACCATCAACTCTATCACTCTTTTTATGCCTGCATATTTCAGAAATCTGCCCTTCTTTGGCATTTTACAGAGAGTGTATCAAACTTCATCCCAATGAAATTTGGCTCCATTGCAACAATGATAACGTTTCATTTTATCACTCAAAAACTCTAACAGTCTTTTGAAAGGACCATAGAAGCACTGTGGGTGTACTTCAGGAAAAAAGCTCATTAGTTATATTTTGTCTGAGAGTAAATAGCTTCAAGATGCTTTAATGATCTCTGATATTCTGCTCAGAGGCTAAGCCAATTTGGGTCTGGGACAGCTGAGGTTTCAGCCCTGCTTTTTAATGCCAGCTTGAATGTAATATAACCATTTACGACATGGGAGTAGTCATGCTAGGTACCAGCATTAGATTCCTCTGGAGACACCACGTGTTTGTCTGAGGCTGGACAGTGAGCTATCGCTGAAGGCTGCAGACAGATGCTTTGGCCTCTAGTCAAGATGGAATCATTGCTATGATATGATGCAATTGTTTCCAATGGAGCTATCAGTCAGTACCATCTCAACCAGCCACCTCTGCTCACTGGAGCTCGAAAGTAGATGTTACTTTGATGTCTTCTCCCACTTCCATCCAAATATCATAATGTTGGTTCTGGGAGTGTTCCAAAGTTCACTATCCCTAGACACTGCTACCATGAGCCTTTTCTCTCTTTTATCCGCCTCTGTCTTCCCAGAGTTGGGGAGACCATACTTTGCAAACATGTGAGAGAAGGTTGTTGGTTGTGCAGCCTTCATTCCATGAATATTGGTGGACTTCCTTTTGGCTTGGCTTGCTTTCTAAGACTGGTCCGAGCACAAGAGGAAATCTGTGAACACTAAAGGGATAGTTTCTCCTAAGTTTCTTCCTGATCCTAATCCATACATATACAGATTATTAAACATATTCCAAGCAATACATTTTGCAGCCACAAATTACACCAATTTGTGAAGTAATACATCATCTTAACACATACCCAACACATGGCCATGTCCCATCCATCTGTCAGACTTCAGTGCACCTGACATAAGGACTCCAGCAGGAGCTGTGCACAGCACAGGGCTGGACAGGCTATTTGAGAACATTTACAAGACTGCTGAATGAAGTTGTTGAATACTAGACATTGAGTACCTTGGTGACAGACAACCTTGTCAAACACAGTCCCTGTCTCAAATTGTCACTTGCAGCTGATCCCGCTGATGCCCCTGAAGCGACATTCTTTTCTTTAGCCTGGAAATGCCCAAAGGAGCTGGAATGGCAAAAGGCAAATGGTTAGGTTGGACAAAGATAGCTGGTTGTCTTCCTCTACAAAGCTTCAGAAAAGGTGAATTTGTATGCTACTCCTCTGAGGCAGCTGAAGTAGACGACATGGACAGGTTTTGCCCCGCAAGGGAAAAACAAGCTTGCACTGGTTGTTTATGAAACACTTCTGTTTCTCTGAGGTATCTGGAATGTCCTTCTGATCTGCTTTGTCAAAACTGCAATGTGTAGCCAAGCTGTGGGCCAATTCACTTGGTCATCCGTGTCTCCCAATTGCTTCTCTTGAGCACCACTGCAAAACCGCAAAAGGCACCTCTTTGGGTGATTTATGAAGTGGGCTCTTTGGACGGTTGTCTGTATGACACCCTTTCTACTCAAGCAAGAAAACACCCCAGAAGTAGCGATGTAGTAATCTCCAGGCTGAGAACTGGTCTTGGTAGATCACATTCTAAGAAGCCAGTTCTTTTGGCTATGTATCCTTTAACAGGTGAGAAAGGATCCCCAATTTCTGGTCTGGTGTAACCTTAATGGTGAGTAGGGTTGAAAGACACACAATTCCTGAAGACAATTCTCTTCTTCTCCATGGCCATTTAATTTTAATGATGAAGAGGCACACCTCCTCTCTGATAAGAATGCACTGGGGGTGAAGCTAGGGCTTAAAATAGGTATATCATTTGCCTGATACCTTTTTTTTTAATGTCATACAGAGAAGAAAAGTCTGAGCTCCAAAATCCTCTAGGACAGGAACACAGTATTTTCTCATCTTTCATTTTTATTTTAGTAATTTTTATTTTTAAAAGATACAAATACAAAAATCATAAAATAAAGAAAAAACACACTTTATACAAAACAATTATTTTAAAAAATCACCCTTAGTGCAGCTCTCCACTGGGACCATCTTTCTTTATGTGGTGAGTAATGGGTTGGAGTTGCTTTTATTAGGTTTTTAGAATCATTGTTATTTCAGCCCCTAACTGTCTGTACAGAATCTCTCAGGGGCATCTAGTCCTTTAACTTGGACAAGCCTTCAGAGAATTAGAACCATCACCTGCTAACACAGCCCTCCTCTCAAATTGGCCTCAAATTGCAGAGAAGCATTTCACTTCCAACAGAAACACAGTCACGTCCAAAGAAAACTTTCCAAGCAATATATATGAACCAAGCTGTTCTAACTTTTAGAAAGAAAACTCATGAACAAATTAGATATGATGCCTGATACATAAGGAACATCTCTGATCAGAGTTTCATTTGTTTTTAAGTTTGCTGCAGCCTTATGGATAGGTGGGGGACACTCAAAATCGGATGAAAGCAGTAACACTGTCTGTGTGTGTTTAATTCTTTCGCTTTGAACTATTTTTAATCCCCCGTCCACATACAAAATCTGCTGCTTTCTCACCCACTATGCAGGTACTTCCTCATTACAAAGAAATAGGAAAGCCTCTGCAGGATGAGTTTTAGTTCATAGGATAAACAGCACCCTTTCTGTTCCAACCAAATTTGGAGCTTCTCCCTTACAATGGCTACAGTAAAGTTAAAATTATCAACACACACTTCACATGTTTTCCAAATCAGATCAAACTTGGCCCTAAGAAACCGTACCTAACTACCTGATGTACATTACATGGAATGTATAGTATGAGGGTTATTAAAGTCTGCAATGAAAGTGGATACCCAGAGTCTCATTGCTGGAGGCAAAATTAGGGAGGGTCTAGACTTACAAGCATACGGGGCAGACATAATTCATCAAGCCACTGCACAGTAGCAAATGCTTTTTCATCACAGTGTCAGAGCTTCTATGAAGCCCCAAGTGCCCCATTGAATTGATTGTACAGCAGTGATTGTACAATGAATTTCCTTTAGCACTTTTAATGCATTCAAGATATAAATGAGAGGAATCATTCAATATCCCAAACACTTGTGCAGGGCCAGCTGTACTTTTCCTTGTTGATTTCTTTACTGAAAAATTACAACTACTGGAATCTTTCAAACAATAGTGTAGCAGAGTCAGTGCTTACAGGGGTGCAGCACCAGCGTGTTTTTATCAGTAGGGATACTGATGTCACCTGCCATCCCTTGCCAGATTTCCTGCTTCTTTCTGAGTTTAGCTGCAACCCTCACAGTTGCTGGGCTGGGGGAATGAATTTTCCTGGCAATAGTGCATTGCTTTTACTGTAATGAAACGCCAAGGTGTCTGGGTCCTGGATGGGCAGTAAAGACCCAAGAGCTTTATAAAATACCATTTCCTGGTAAAGAAAACCAGAACTGGTTTGGTGATATGGATCAACATGGCTGTCTGAATTTCTGACATCTTCTTGGGACCATGGCTATGGAAACCCTTGCGATGAACACCTATACTTAGAAAAGTTTACACTATGGCACAGTTTCTAAAAGGGCTCAGCTTTAATGCCCCTCTGTCTGGAATACAGGTACACAGGTGTTCTGGACCAGTCCCAGGAAGACAACAATGCCAAAGGCTTGATCTACAGTGGAACAGTGCATTTACCACTTTAGACTGCAGGTAAGGGGTGATAATTTTTAACACATTCCTATATTTAAAACTCTCTGCAATTAGTAAATTAACACAAGATCACATTGGCTGGGATAGAAACTTTCTTCCTGCTGGGTTAATATTTTATATGCATGGATTCTGTTGTTGAGATTTTTTTGCTTTTTCCCCTCAGGAAGCATTCATAAACAGTACCTCCACCGACAGTTCAGAAATGTCCAGTGCATCACCTCAGAATGTTATCTTCACCCTCTGCATATGTACATCAGATATGAGGTGAGGCTGTCAAGATACCTCATTCAATCATTCATTCACCCTCCATTTCTTTCCTCAAAACAACACTGTGAAGAAGGTTAGACTGCAAGTCAGAGATGGGGTCACATTCACCCAGGGGGCTTTTTTGCAGAGTGGGGACTTGAACCCAGGTCTCCCCAGTCCAAACCACCAGCTACTACACAGTGATTCTTAGAAGCAGGCAATACAGTGGCCTTGTCACTTGTTGCCCCTCACAGGATTAACACAAGTGTAAGGGGGTCATATCATCCATGCACTGCTATATCTCTGTCCCCATTATTCACTCATTAGTGTAACCCTATGAACCATGATGATGATTTTCATTTCTTTTATGCATATGGATTCCCAGTACAACTTAAATATTGCACAGCTCTTAAGCACATGAAGGTAATGACTGAATAGGGCTAGCACTAATTTTATTTCCTAGTTTTACTCCATTTTCCTTCTCTAAAGAACAAAAGACAAAAATAAAGTTTTAACTGCTTCTGTTGTCAGCTTGTCTTAAAGAAATGTTCCTGGCTTTTTTAGCTGGAATGGAAAAAGGAAAACATGCAACAAAGCCAAATGACTGTACATAGTAAGACCTCTCCAAGGAAGATTGTAATTCTAAGCTAGCCCAGTCTGACACAGGAAGGAGGAATTAAAGTCAGCTTATATGTGTGAGAAGAAAGCAACCACTTTTCTCTATCCCTGTGGAGAAGGCACAAAGAAATATTAGACTGATAGGAAGAGAAGTTGCTTCACCTATTCTCTCGAAGTTTACCAGGCAGGAGCAATTAGAATTAAAGGGTACCTGTTATTTAAATTCAATTTGGCCTTTTCAGTGGAAGCACTTGACATGAGTTATAAACAACCTGGCTTGACTAATTTGCAACTGAGACCCCAGACTTGATCAACAACCACCCCTCAAGATTATTCCTGATGAACACAAAAATGAACAAGGCAGACAAATAAACAGTGCAAACAGACTGACAGCAGTATTGATCATGATGAGCAAAAATTACAAGGGCACAGGTACTAGAAAGTAAATGATGTGTTTGTTGAGGGGGAAAGTACAGATGGTTTCAGTAAGCATAGAGGCCTTAATAGATTTTGACTGCTGATTAATAGTCCAGGAGGTGTAAATCTAATCATGAGAAAGCCAGAACAAGGGAATAATGTTCCCCTTTTGTTGTCCAATTTCAGCTGGTGCAAATCCAAGTCTTTGAAGTGAAGATAATGGCAAGCAAACAGTTTTCCGCCTTGGACATTAATGAAGCCCAGCAGGCTCCTGTCAATCTACTTTGCTGGTAGATCAGGTATCCCCAGATGGTCCAAGGGGCTGTCTGTGATATGTTTCTCTTCATGACAGTGAATGGATAATCTCTCGTTGCCTTAGGCCAGTCATGTGCTTTTTAGAGTCATTCAGCATATTTTTTCCAGGCATGTCTCATTTTACATTCTATAGCCTTGGACTTCTCTCTTTTCATGTAGCAACTGTTTTCTATTTTGGGGAGGCCATTCTGAATTTGTGGCCCAAATAGGCCTATTCCAAATTGGACCAAGAGAGAAAAAGGTGCATAGGGTGAGGATGGATGGAGGGCCACCGCAGTTCGTGGGTCAGGAGCCTGACTGATGAGATATTAACGGGGAAGGGGGCCTAACCTCTGCGCATCTGGAGATCTTGGTCAATGCTGTCATTAAGAGGCAGAGAAAGGCTTGGTTCACATTTCAAATAATGCTCGGCACCACTGCAAGCATAACCTCACATGGCCCAATCCAATATCATAGTAACAGAAGGTACATGGTAGCAAAGTTCTAACTTTAGTTATTTTTTATGACTGGGATCCAACACACAGCTAGTTCTGTACTTGCAAGGGGGCTTTGGACTTGTATCCTAAGCAGCAACACTTGCTGACAGCTAGCATATAATAAAATATACAGGGGGCTCCTTTTCAAAGAAACAGACATACACATATACCAGGCCTAAACAAACCTTCGCTCTCTGGTTCCCCACCCTGGGGTCAAAACATCAATTCCATATTTATGCCATACATAGTTGCATGAAGTTAGCTGAAACTAAATTCAAGTTCACTACTGGAAGAAGTGACAGAAGATCAGTTGTCAAATGTCACTGATAAAAATAATATAAAGATGCTTCTTCCCATTGCATCTCGGAAATACTATGCCCACTGATCTTCTATTTTATATACAATTGTATATCTTCTGAACAAGTTTGTGTTCTCTACGTATCATCCCTGCCTAATCTTAAACTTCAGGTTCCCTTAAGATAATTAATTGTCACCCTTTTCATAAGGATACATAGAAAGGCATAGTGGTATTATTTTTATAGAAATGTATTATTTGCCAAAAATTGATTGAGCTGTCATTTGTAGCTTTATCACAATTGTTATCTGGTCCATACATTTCTTATTATCAAGCTGCTAGAACTTCTGGCCTTCCACAGTACAAATGGGGTTTTAAACCTTTGCTACTTTTTCCTGCTCCCCTTATAAGGAACTTCATGGGAATATTGTACTATTTGCTCATGTATCAACTCTAGCTTATCTTCTTTAAAAGTTTACTTTTTGAGACCAACAATGTGTAGAAATATTGGAAATGGTAATATAGCTCTGACTTCAGAGAACTGTACAGTTGGGCACTTCGAAGACTTCTGCTCCAGTGAAAATCCCTGGTCATGATGCCCTCGCTCTTCACTGTAGCTCCCTATTTGCTCATCTGCCCTTTCTTCTTGGCCTACACGGGGTGATCAAGAGAGAGATGACAGAGAGGAAGAGGAGGAGCAGTAGTGGCAAAAGCTGGTAGCAACTGAGCCATTAGGTGGGTGGAGGATGACCCACTAGGTGGCACATGAGAGAGGAAGACCATTGAGGATCTCTTGCCCCAAGAGCTCCTCCAAACCTGGCAGTAGTATTGATTTTCCTTCCTGTATTATTTCAGCAGGGTTTTATCTTATCCCCTTGATGGTTTATAGCTCCATATGAAATCTGTTTTTGAAAAACCATGTGAAATATGATGTGAAATCTGTGAAATTTGAAAAACCCTATGAAATATGTTTTCCTGTACAGCATCACCCAGGGAAAACATTTGTCTTTCAAGCAGCCATTTTTCCCATCCAAGAAGTAGGCAATGATGACCATAAAAAAAATACGAGGGTAATTTAAATAAATTCTACAGCCAGAGCAAGGATAATTTTTGACTCATCCTTGTATTTTACTTCCCTGGTCTGAGTAATTTATAAAGTAACTCTCACTGCACTAGCTGAATCAGGACAGAACTAGCAGTGGAGGCAGCAGAGAACCATCAAGGAATACCAAGTATAAGCACCTGCCTAACCATTCTCCCTCCAACATATGTAGGGAAACATACCTTGCTCGTGTCCTGGCATCATTATATGGAGAGCTTCTCATCTGCGGTCAGAGCTGGGTAGCAAGAGCAAAGGAACACTCAGCATAATGAAACTAGCATACAAAATTCTATATCAGCCTTCTCCAACCAGGGCTGGACTACAGGTGCACTCATCCTCAGCCAGCATGCCCATTAGACATGCTGGCTGAGGTTGATAGGAATTGGAGTCCAAGGGCGCTAGGGTGGGAAAAATTGTGCTATATGTACAGAAGGCAGGTGGGACCATATCCCTGATAGAGCTCACACTTTTTTAATGCATGTTTCAGGTCTCTCCCAGGCATCTCCAGTTAAAAGGCAATCAGGTAGAAAATGAGCAAGGGGACCCTTCCTGGGACCCTGGAGAATTGCTGTAACTCAGAGCAGACAATACTGGACTAGATGGGCAAACAGCCTGACATGATATAAGGCAACTACACAAGTGCTGTACACATGGCTGCTTTTAGTGACAGACCATTATTTATTTATTCATTTATTGATTTATTGATAATATCTCTGTTCACCCTGAATGAACCCCTGCTTGGATTGCACACAGCCACCCAGCCTTCATATGAAGCATAGCTTTTGTATGCAGAGACGATTGTACAGATGCAGACTCCAGACTGTGGAAGTATTTGAACATTGCAAAACTTTACAAGAACACCCAACGTTAGGATAACACAGCCCTTAACAGAGACAGGCATTTCCATATTGTAGACGTAGTCCAGGGAACTGTGGGCATGGAAAAGGGGAGACACTCAAGCAACCAATGAGCAACAGAACCAGTGCCTGTCTCCTGCTGGGTAGAGAAAATCCACACGGCTCTTGACGTTCCTGAGGGAGCAAGCCCACAGAGGCTGCCCTTTCACACTGCCAGCAGTAGTATTTGTTTACAGTCAACTCCCTTACCCTTTCCATGGTGCCAGCTCCAGTAAAAATTCTTTTCACCACAGGCCTGAGGTACATGCATGGATCTTACTGGACCCCTACCATATACTCTTGAGATCAGGCGAGTGGCCCCCAGCATAAACAGAAGTCAAGGAGACAACACTGTGTGTGTTTGGTATTGCCATCATCAGAGGTTCTAGTTTCTGGGCTCTGGCACTTTTAAAGGGTGAATTGGGTGAACGGTGTAAATTACCCCTGGGAATGTTTATCACCTCTTTATAAAGTTATTTATAAAAGCATCTTCAAGCCTGTATATACTTGGTATATAACCTTGGTATTTGGCTTCCTAAAAAGGTGTGAACAACCTAGCTGATTGTCTTCCCCTATGTACACCACCTCAGCCCACGGAATCTCCCAGGAAGGCTTAGTCATTTCACAACCAACGGCACATCATCAGGTAGTAATGTGTAAAGCAAGCCTTTGGGTAGCGGCACCCACCCTCTGGAACATGTGGCTTGAGAGGCAGATGCAGCGTCAAGCTCCAAAGCCTCTTGGAAACATTTGTTCACTCAGGCTTTGACCGAGCTCCTAACTGTGTTTGTTCCAATGTTTTTAAGGCACTTTCAATTCTGTTTCATACTGGTTTCTATGATGCATTGTATATGTTTCATGTAAACCACTTGGCAAGCTGGGGATATCAAGTAGCATGGCAGCAGCTCAAACAAACAAACAAACAAACAAACAAACAAACAGAACCGGTAATAACAATAACCCTTGAATTAGTTGCATTCTCATTCTTCAGAAATAAAGAAACGAAAGCCACTGCAGGCCTCCTCTAAACCAAGGAAAATATATGATGTTAATTCCTACCAAAGAGGAAAACAAACAGAACTTCTGTTAACATCACTAGCGAAATTATTTCTGTAGTAGTTTCAGTATACTCTCAGGATTGCCAAGACATCTCTCATACTGCCTTGTCTGACAATGTTAAAAGCTGGAAAATAAAACTGAGATATTGAGACTCAGGAGTCACAATTGTGTGGGCAGGGGCTGGCCCACACGGTGTCATGCTTATTAATGTCACAGAACCATCATGGAATGAAACCAAGGGAAAATGTCCTGTGTCACTACTCTAGTAATATGAAAAGGGCCTTTTGGTCAAGGTGATTTAACAATTCCTTTGCAGGAGCATGAAAGGCTAACAGTTCAAAAACAAAGAAAAAAACAAACCTCTGTAAAGTATCAAAAAGTGCATACATGGGGTGGAACATACAGAGAGGGGCTGCCATCTTGCACTTATCCATGGGGGTGATGAGAGCACCACCTTTACAATTAAAGTGTCAAGATTTAGGTCATTTAAAAAGTCTCACTTTATTAATTAATTTGCCTTTAAAAAGGACAAACCTGGTGATATGTGTGGCCTATCTAAACCTAGAAAAGATCACTTAAGCCTTAACAGTAATTAGAACATTAGAAAAAGTAAGTAGAAAATTATGACAACTTATTCCTACAAGTTCACCTGGGGCTCAGGTGAATTTCTAGCTGAATACATGTGGTAATATCATGACTGATTATCTAGATGAGGTATTTCTATAATCCAACTTATATAGAGGACATAATGGTATCCTAGCAGTTTATTCAGAAAGCTATCCTCTAAAATGTATGCAGGTAACTAATATTAACATAATCTTTCAAATGAATGCGTTTACAGTGTAATTGTCAGTGATTCTTGGAATTGTAGGACTGTGAGTTGCATGACTTTGTTGTCTAAAAGGTAAAGGTAAAGGTTTTCCCTTGATGTTAAGTCCAGTCATGTCTGACTCTAGGGGCGGTGCTCATCTCCCAGCATTCGTCCACAGAAGTTTCTGTGGTCATGTAGCCAGCATGTTACCTTCCCACCAAAGTGGTACCTTTTTATCTACTTGCATTTGCATGCTTTCAAACTGCAAGGTTGACAGGAGCTGGGACGGAGCAACGGGAACTCATCCCGTTCTGCAGATTTGAACCGGTGACCTTTTGATCAATCAGCCCTGCAGCACAGCAGTTTAAACTACTGCGCCACCTGCATTCCTTTCTTCTAAATATGCATAAAATTGTAAATAATCAAAGGCAAATAGCAGATCCAGTCTGTGCATGCATTATATTAGTCGTGAAGTCATGTCCGACCCATCACAACCCCATGGACAACATTCCTCCAGGCTCTCCTGTCCTCCACCATCCCCCAGAGTCTACTGAAGCTCACACGGATGGCTTCAGTGGCTCCATCTCGCCAACTTATCCTCTGCTGTCCCCTTCTTCTTCTGCCGACAGTTGTTCCCAGCATTAGGTTCTTCTCCAGTGAGTCCTTCCTTCTCAATGCAATAATAAAAAACTATGTACACACAGTGCTTCTGTGTGGATAAGCTTCAGTATTAACCAATATATGTAAGGATGAATATAAAGCTCACCACCTACATAAATGTTTAGGGTTCTCTATAAGGAGGGGAGTTCCATCTTTACAATGGAATTTTGCTCTTAACATAGCATCACTGGTAAGGACGAATGTATGTGCTAACATTTTAGGTTAGTTTTGTTTTTAGCCTGAATGCATTAAAAAGAAAATCCTGCAGATCCCACTGATTGCAACACACCAACATTTATTTGCATGCTTTCTGTCTAAATTACTTAATCCTGCGAGGAAAGATCTCTTTCCTCTTAGAGTATTAGATGCTACTCTCCAGAGCCCTTGTATCCCACTAGCCTGGGCAGAGAAGCCTTCGGACTGTTGCTAACTTCCCACGCATTACACTCATTTTGCCAGCTGCGTTGAAAGGCATTAAGAAATAGCAGCATAATCAATTAGCAAGACAATGTAGCTAATGTTTTCCCTTCCAGGATCCACACAATTCTGTCATCAAAAGGACTGGCTATAACACTGATTTATGCCAGCAAAAGAGAAATCCCACACTGACAATGCTAGGGAAAGCTAAGCCAACAAATGCACCAGTATTGATATTTCTTCCACTTCAGTTCCTAAGGAAGGACAGCTTCCCCTTAATCATAGGAAGAAAAAAATAGAAGCCTTCAGAAGAACAAGATCCATGTAAAGGCAGAAAATGCATGGGCTACTTTCCATGAAAATACTCAGTATTTCTGGCAATGCTAATGCTGACTGGGTTCAAAAACTATGGGTTGAATGTTGGCAGGGGTGAGGAATATGCTCATGACAGCTTCCATGATGTTCAAACCCAAACCATGGTGAACTATCTATAGTTCACAATCCAACAGCAAACTATGGGTTCTCTTTATGAGTTGTTTATGATTGACAATACCATGGTTTGTTAGTGTAGCAGGATTCAGACAACACAATAACCTTGTGAACCTAGTTTCTGTGGCATGATGATGGCATGGGGAAAAACCATAGTCCAGTAATTGGGCGTATACTTTTTGTGCAAAAGGTCTGAGGTTTGAACCCTGACCCCTCTACTTAAAAGGACCTCAAGTAGATGAGAATATCTGCTTTCTGAGACTTTGAAGAGCTGCTGTCAGTCAAAGGAGACAATATGGATCTAGATGGACAGGTGGCTTCAATGGATATAAGGTACCTTCCTATGTTGCTAAGGCTGATGGTGTATATATAGTACTAATGAGACACACGTGGCCACTGTCAGTATGCTGTCACCACAGATTCTTCTTTGTTTGTTTGCTGGCAGTTGCTTTCCCAATATTGGCAATACAGTGCATAAGAGGCTGTAAGGCAAAATCCTATGCCTGTTTAGGCAGAAAAATCCCTACAATTCCCAGCTCGCCTCAGTCAGCAGGGATTTTTTTTTTTTTAAGTTCTGTCTGGAACAACCCCAGACCATTCAGAAAAGTCCAATTCAGAAAAATTCTTTGCAGTGCATTTGAGAATAGAACTGCCAGATGCTACTTGGTTCTTCAAGATTGTCAAAATGTCTTTTTAGTCATTTCCTAGAAGCCTCGGAGGAGGGTTCTCAGAGTCTAAGAAGCATCTAACATCAATATAATTCAAGTAAGGGTTCTCAAACTAGGTGCACTCCGGCTGTTCAAGACTTCAGCTCCCAGCATTTCTGACCACCAGCTATGCTAGCTGGGGCTGATGGTAGCTGAAGTTCCACCATGGCTCCAGCTGAAGAATGCTGCAAGTTTTCTGTAGGTTCCTTAGCTACTCAATCAAACCAGCAATGGGCAAAGCAGTACTAAAAGCTTATGTTAAACAATACTGGTGCTGCTGGTTGCCTTCTGCTTGCATCCAGCATTCATACCCATCTTTCCCTTCCTGAAAAAGCTCAGTCAGGTTCAACAGGCAAGAGTCACACAAATTAGTGAGGCCTGCATTAAGGAGTTGGGGGACACTGAAGGCTCTGGTTGTCAAGGAGGGGCTAAAACCATGCACCTGTTGCGAGCAAGCAGCCAAGGTTTATGTCAGAGTGCCACAAATATTCTCCCTTCACGAGGGTCCCGACCTTTTCAAGCATGTTTATGACAGCCAGCACCCATTAAGTGCTACCCGATCCTCTGCTAATGCAGCAGTTACAAAAGGACCACAGGGGCTTGCTTGACTGCTTGTCGATGGGATAAACACCTTTGCCAGGGGAGGAGGTTGTTGAAAAGGTGCACATTTCCCGTTTGCTTCCATGGCCCAGTTGGGCAATCAGACTGAATTTTAATGTTAGTGTTAGCCATAATGACCTAATGCCAGCAGCATGCTTTCCTGGCTGCGGGGAGAAAAGCGGAACTGCTGCTCTTAACCAATTGCTGCTGTTGTTGAATTGCCCTTACCATGGAGTGTACAAACCATAATGCAATGGGTTTTTTAAAAATTAACTAAAGGTTTCTAGAATGACAGGGCAGTGTTGGGGCTTTGCATGAATAATCGGTACAATCTTCTTCTGGTTCCTCTCCTAACAGAGACTGGTCATTATCAGTTTCTGGAAATGGATGAGTGGTAGGTGCCACTGCTTACTTGCTTACTGACTCTCTGCCTGTCAAGCAAGCAGCTGGTGGCAATGGTGAGAGCACGATGGGGAGTGATAGCAGCTGGGCAGTGCTGAGGAAGGGCCCATGGAGGGTGGCTTGCCTCCTCCGGTCATTCAAAGCCCTGGAGCAGGCACTGTGCATGAGAATGGGGAACTAATTTCACAATGCCACTCAGCCAGTGAGCAGCAGAATTTGGGATGCATTGAAACCCACCTGGTTAGGTTGGGTCAACAACTGTTACTTGAGTGTAGCCAAATATTTCACAAGTCAGCAAGACCAAATGGTAATGAATGCTTTATATTAAATCATGGAATTAATCACTACATTGTGGATATCAAAGGCAATACAACTTCTTGGGCAATACATTATTCAGCACCATTACTGCTAATGTAACTTTCGCTGCACTAATACAAGCGACTTCTATCACAATTGCAATAGTGTTTCCTCGTATGACAGATTTCCCAGGGAAAGCAATCATGCCGGCAAACACCATTGCCATGAATTTACATTAGCAGTAGTGTCAGATAGAATACTGTTCATTAGTTCTGTATATGGGGACC